TTTTTGAGACAGGGTCTCCCTGTAGCCCCAGCTGTTCTGGAACTCACTATGTAGGCCAGGCTGACCTTGAACTCACAGAGATCGCCTGCCTCTGCCTACCAAGTGCTGGGATTAAAGGCGTGTGCCACCACGCCCGGTACGCTATGCTTTTTTAATTAAGGGACTTGATCCTCTGCCAATTTGGATCTCCTGGAGGAGAGGGGGTATGGAAACCAGTTCTCCACAGATAAAAGGGTCAGCTTTCACTTTAGTTCATGATTGCTTCTGTGCTTGTGACTTGTGTGGCTATAAATTCTGGGGCTAAAGAGATGGCTCAGTCAGTAAAGCTCTTACCTCTTAAGTGTGAGGATCTGAGTTTGGATTCCCCAGAGCCCACCTGCCTTATTTTGCTTCTCCATTGCTGTGACAAAACACTCTGACCAATACCACCTTGGGGAGGAAAGGGTTTATTTGGCCTTTATCTCCTGGGTCACAGTTCATCACTGAGGAAGCCCAAGGTAGGAACTCAGGGCAGGAACCTGGAGGTAGGGGCTGGAGCACAGGCCATGGAGGAACGCCGCTAACTGGCTTGCTCCCCTGGCCTGTGCTCAGCCTGCTTTTCTGATACAGTACAGGACCACCTGTCCAGGGGTGGCATTGCCCACAGTGGGTTGGGCCCTTGAACACCACTCAGTAAACAATTAAGACAGTACCCCACAGACACGGCCATAGGCCAGTCCAATGGAGGAAATTCCCCAACTGAGGTTTCCTCCACCCAGGTGTGTCAAGCAGGTCCCCTAAAAAGCTGAGAGTCGTAGTGTTCACCTGTAACCCCAGCTCTGGGGAGGTAAAGACTGGCAGATCTCTGGGAGCTCACTGGCCAGCTAATTTTTCTACTTGGGCATCTCATCTTAAAATATGGCATGCACTGCCCATCATCCGTCTTTAGAATGACCCTGTACATGCTCATACCGCCCTGCAGACAGGCGGAAGTCCTGGTGGGAACAGATGGTGTGGGGCTAACTGTCCACTTGTTTCCAGGGTGGAGTTTATCAAACTGTCCAATGAGTATGACGTCGTGAACTTGGGTCAGGGTTTCCCTGACTTCTCACCTCCAGACTTTGCGGTGAAAGCCTTCCAACAAGCCACCAGCGGGGACTTCATGCTCAACCAGTACACCATGGCCTTTGTGAGTTCCCTGCCTTGCCTGGAGGCCCTGAGGGAAAGGGGCAGGTGTTTCTGGGTACTAAGGCCACACAGGTGTCAAAATTCATTAGAGCTAGGGGGATTGAGTCCAGCATCATCTCCCCTGTGCTGACCCTGTGCCTCAGAGCCCAGTGCAAAAGGCACACCAGGTACCCCTTGACCAAAGCAGCTGGTCCAGTCTGTGAGGAAGGAGAAGGTAGACATGGGATTAAGAACAAACGAGACCTGTAGCAGAATGAAGCTGAGGAAGCTTCCAGAAAGAGGTAGCGCCTAAGCCAAGCCCTGAAAGATGGGCTGGGCTGTTGCATTGGACTCTAAGTCCCAACTGCTCTGTGAGGGCCACACCATAGGTATCTGCTAGCCTTGGACTAGAACAATACTCCTTAAACATTGCTAAGTCTCAGCTTTGCCTGGAGGGAATTTCCCCAACATTCATTTCAACACTTACTATTCTTTAACATACATGAACTCATTCTGTACATAACGTTATGAAACTTGTTTCAGTAAAGAGTATATCCATAGCCAGGCGTGGTGGTACACACCTTTAGCCCCAGCACTGGGGAGGCAAAGACAGGCAGATCTCTGTGAGTTTGAAGCCAGCCTGGTCTCCATAGTGAATTCAGTCCAGCTGGGGCTACAGGGAGACCCTGTCTCAAAAAGACCAAGAAAAAAGGGTAAAAACTCATTCAATTTTATGTCTTACAGGGTTTATACTGAGTTCATTATTGTATGACTGTATTAATTCAACTGTGAACCTAAAAATTTACAGCCACCTTTGAAAGAGATATATCCTTGCTGTGGAATGTGTTACTGAATGTGTTAAAGCTATAATGAAAAAAAAAAACAAAACAAAACTGCAGAGTCAGAGCTTTCAATTTAGAAACCACAGCTCCTTTCCCATAACAGACCTGGTTTAAATATTAACAAACTCTGGCTTACAGATGTTAAGCATCTTGCCCACATTCACCTAACCAGTGTCCTGTGATTTGAACTCAGCAGTCCACAGCCTAGGTTCTAAGCCTACTCCCTATAGGGAAAATTAGTTAGCTACATGATGGAAAATCTACTCCAAAGGATATTTTACAACCTTTTGAAGTTATGCTCATAGAGTAGTTATTATATGTGATGAAAGTAGAAATATGAATTTATGTTGACTTTTATGTACAATTTCTGTAAGAATGCATGTGCCTTGTCTATGTGTATTTTATACATAATATTCTTTTCTGTGTATATTTTATTCATAATATTCTTTATATTATTATATAAATCAAGGCAGATATTTTATAATTATGTACTTTTAAAAAGCATTAAAAACTGGAAGAGGAAAAAAAAGATAACAGGAATTAAAAAAAAGACCAAGGGAAAAAAAGTATCCATGGACACTTTTTCAGTACAACCTCATCTTTTTTTTTTCTCAGTACTGGGGATCCAGCCCAGGGCTTCAATAAGCACTTGCTCTACTATTGAGCGGCAGCCCCACTCCTTTTTTAAAAATTGATTTTGCAGGGAGTGGTGGCACATGTCTTTAATTTCAGCACTCAGAGACAGAGGCAGGCAGATCTCTGTGAGTCAAGGCCAGCCTGGTCTACATAGCAAGTTCCAGGCCAGCTGGGGCTACAGGGAGACGCTGCCTCAAAAAGACCAAAAAAAACAAAATTTTTTTTTTATTGTATATGGGTGTTTTGCCTGCATATATGTAAGTGTACCACATGCATGCAGTGCCTGAGGAGGTCAGAAGAGGGTGTCAGATCCCCTGGATCTGGAGTTAAGGATGACTGTTAACTGCCATGTGGTGCTGGGAACTGAACCCAGGTCCTCTGCAAGAGCAGTCAGTGCCCTTAACCACTGAGCCATCTCTCCAGCCCCACCCATCTTTTAAAAGATGTTCTTCTTCTGCCTCATCCTACGTGCCTTGGCCAAGACAGTTCCTCTCTGGATTTCCTTTTCTCACACACCCAACAAGTAATCCCTGGCTCCAAGGCTGCTGAGAGAATCAGATAAGCACAAATGTACCTTTAAGTGCTCAGGGAAGTGTGGGAATGTGGGGTTCCCACAGCCCCAGGGTTTTGTGGTGCTGTAGATAGAGACAAACACATTGTCAGGTTCTCCCCACACCCCAGTTCTGGGTGGGACACACATGGCAAAGGCTGTTGGAGGAGATGAAACAGCTCAGCCCCAGAAGCTGACCTTGCTTGAAGGGGCTGGAGGTCTAGGTGCAACTGAGGTGGAGTCTAGGCTGATCCTGGGTGGCTGACCCAATTGTCCTGGCAGGGTTATCCACCACTGACAAAACTTCTGGCAAGTTTCTTTGGCAAGCTTCTGGGACAGGAGTTGGACCCCTTCAAGAATGTGCTGGTGACAGTGGGCGCATATGGGGCCCTGTTCACAGCCTTCCAGGCCCTGGTGGACAAAGGAGATGAGGTGAGTGATAAGCCTGAGTTGGCTGGACCAGTCATCAATAGGGGAAGTGCTGACCCCTGCTGATCTGACCCTCAAACCAGGTCATCATCATCGAACCTGCTTTTGACTGTTATGAACCCATGACGCTGATGGCTGGGGGTCGCCCTGTGTTTGTGTCCCTGAAGCCGGTAAGGGATGTGGGGTGGGGTGGGTGGGCCAAGCCATGAGCTGGGCTGTACCCTGGGATATGAGAAGGGAGTCTTCAAAGCTGGGAGGGTAGGGGTGGAGTCTAAAGGAGAGAGGCAGGGGCAGATATATAGGGAATGAGTTTCTGTTGGATTGTGGGATGGGCAAATACCGCTCCCACCCCACCTTCCCTTACAGAACCCTGCTCCTAAGGGGCAACTGGACACTAGCAGTGACTGGCAGCTTGACCCCACAGAACTGGCCAGCAAGTTCACATCTCGCACCAAGGCCTTGGTCCTCAACACACCCAACAACCCCCTGGGAAAGGTACCAGAGGGACCTCAGCGGCCTATATCCCCTTCCCATCCTAAACTCGAGCTAGCTCAGAACTACCTCCTCATGTGTGAGGTGAGAGGACTGTATGCCATGTACTCTGAGGACAGAGGTCCCAGGGACTAAGCAGGGATTCCAGGAAGGTACGAGGGCCTACTGGCACTGTCAGGCACCTCGCTGTTTCCCAATAACCTGGAGACAGTGACTGGGACTCTGTACAGTGGGACTCTGAGGGGACCGACTGATCCCATGGGGTCAGTGTTGCAGACCTGCTCAGAAGGGAGATGCTGAGAATCCTCAGGACCCGCTTGGCCTTGTGCTCCACCTCTGAGCAGGCTCTGCACTGGGGACAGTCCAAGCTGCACACCTGTGCCCTTGGGTCCTACAGGTGTTCTCCAAGGCAGAGTTGGAGCTGGTGGCTGGCCTGTGCCAGCAGCATGACACCGTGTGCATCGCTGATGAGGTCTACCAGTGGCTGGTCTACGACGGGCATCAGCACGTCAGCATTGGTAAGCTGGGCCTTGAGCCCAAGCTGGAGCAGCCTAGCCCTGGTGCTTAGGACCCAGGGCTATGGAACTGTGCGCTCGTGTGACCTTGGGCAGAGACTTCCCCTCCCGTGGCCCGAGGAGCACAGTAGCCTCTGTTTCCCGAGGCTGTCAGGAGCAAGAGGTGAAATGGGTCCTGTCAGCAGCTTAGTGGCTGCTGGCCCTCAGAGTTGAGGCTGTGCTTGTCCCCGGGTCCCTCCCTCCACTTCCCCACCCATCTCAGCGTTTGCTCTTCTTGGCCCCCTCAGAGTTGAGGCTGTGCTTGTCCCCGGGTCCCTCCCTCCACTTCCCCATCTCAGCGTTTGCTCTTCTTGGCTTCGGGCAGCCAGCCTCCCTGGTATGTGGGGACGAACCCTGACCATCGGCAGCGCAGGCAAAAGCTTTAGTGCCACGGGCTGGAAGGTAAGTGCTGTCCATTGGCAGATGGTGGCGGTGGGAAGCTGAGAAGGGCCTCCTCTGACCCTGCAGACCTCACCTGACTGTTACTGGTGCAGGTGGGCTGGGTCCTGGGTCCGGATAACATCATGAAGCACCTGAGGACTGTGCACCAAAACTCTGTCTTCCATTGTCCCACCCAGGCCCAGGTAAGGACAGCAGGGAGCCCTGTGTGGTAGGTGGTGACAGAAAGGGTACAAAAGCACCCAGGCAGGGCCCAGCCCACCCACCTGTCCATTGCCCTGTCCACCCCACCTTCCTGTCCCTGTCCAGCCCACCCGCCTGTCCCTTGCCCTGTCCAGCCCACCGGCCTGTCCCTGTCCAGCCCACCCGCCTGTCCCTTGCCCTCTGCAGCCCACCTGCCTGTCCCTTGTCCTGTCCAGGCTGCGGTAGCGCAGTGCTTTGAGCAGGAGCAGCAACACTTCGGCCAGCCCAGCAGCTACTTCCTGCAGTTTCCACAGGCCATGCAGCTCAACCGAGACCACATGATCCACAGCCTGCAGTCGGTGGGCCTCAAGCCCTTGACCCCCCAGGGCAGCTACTTCCTCATTGTAGATATCTCAGACTTCAGTGAGTGGGACTGGCCGTGCCACTCAGGATCTGGGGAGGTGTCAAGGTTGGCTAGGACTCAGTATGACCTCTTCTGTCCCCTCAGAGAGCACAATGCCCAGCCTGCCTGGTGCTGTGGATGAGCCCTATGACAGGCGCTTTGCCAAGTGGATGATCAAGAATAAGGTGGGCCGGGCCCTACTGGGACTGCTAGGTAGTTCCACAGGTTGTATACTGGTCAAGGGTGTCTAGCCAAAAGGACCAACCGAGCTTTTTCCCTGAGCCCTGATACAAGTCTGCATCTGTTGGGGAGTCTATTTCTCATTCGTACCAAGAAGCCATGCTGGCTGGCAGGAGACTCTGCCCTTCTCTGGGCCTGGACTTCTCCCTTAGCGCATGACCTCTGAGGTCACCCTGTCAGCTCTCTGAGGCTCAGGCATAGTTCCTCTCCAGCTCAGCCTGACCTGCTGTGTAGTTTGTGCTTGCCTTTCGTCTTCTCCCTCTGAACCTTGGTAGGAACCTGGTTTGATGTCCTGGGTCTCCTCTCCTGAAAGGGATACACTGATCCAGCTTACTTTGCTGCCCTTACCCTGTCCCCTGAGCTGAGGCCTTGGGTCTTGAGGCCATCTGCAGACACAGGCTTCCTCCTCCCCAGGGCCTGGTAGCCATCCCAGTCTCCATCTTCTTCAGTCGACCCCATCAGAAGGATTTTGACCACTACCTCCGCTTCTGTTTTGTGAAGGTAGAGAAGGCTGAGAGTGCCTGGCCGGGCCTGGCCAACTCCCGGGTCGGGAGAGGGAAGGCTTAGTGTGTGTCTTGCAGGATGAGGCCACGCTCCAAGCCATGGACGAGAGGCTGCAGAAGTGGAAAGCAGAGCTCCAGCCCTGAGGGCCCCCTCAGCCTGCCCCTCTCCAGTCCTGCACATCAAAGACTCATCCATGCCTTGTCACCAGGATGGCACTGGGGTGGACCCTGCTCTGTGACTTAGTGTACTCCCAGCGAAGAGCCCAATGTTTGAGAGTTTCAGCAATCCTTTCCCACAGTGTCTGGACTCCTGTCTTCAGGCCTCCCTGTCCTCTATAGATCAGTGTAGGGTCTTGGACCTTCTTGGCTTTTCTGACTACCTGGGTCAGTAAGGGGCAGAGTATCAGGCTGGAGTCCAGTCCCATCCCCACCTTGGGCCTCAGAGACTCTGGGGTGGACCTTGGGACATTGCTTCCAACTGATTCCTTTTGCTCCTAATAAAGTTTTAAGTTATTAGAACTCTGAAGGCAGCTTTTCTCTCTCTGATACTGGCTTCTGAACAGAACAGTTGGACCCCAGAGAACCTCAGACCACATACCTCTGCTCTGTGTGTTGTATGTGTGTGTGTGTGTGTTGAAACCAAGGTCCAGAGAAGAATGGGAACTTGGAACTTGTCTAAAGTCACAGGGCTCATTAATCAGAAACTCAGACTGGGTCCCCAGGTGTCTGCTGTGTTCCTCACCCTCTGAGGACACCAGGGGCAGGTGCTGGCTGTATAGGCCATTGAGGAGGCTGTGTGGGAAGGCAGGAAGGAGGAGTGTGCTGTGACCTGCTGCCAAAGTGCAAATGGCGTTTGATTTGTTTGTTCTTTTTCTGGGCAGGATTTGTGACAGTTCCCAAACTCATGGTACAGACAAGCTGGCTCACACTTGTAGCCATCCTCCTGCCTCTGCTTCCTGAGTGCTGAGATTATAGGCCTGTCACCACACTGGGTTTAGAAGTAGGATTTGGCCAGGTGTAGTGGCACACACCTTTAATCCCAGCACTTGGGAGAAAGAGGCCAGCGGATCTCTGAGTTCAAGACCAGCCTGGTCTACTTAGTTCCAGGTGAGCTGGGGCTACAGGGAGACCCTGTCTCAAAAAGACCAAAAAAAAAAAAAAAAAAAAGGGGATTTGTTGTGTCCCACTAGAGGGCCACCACAGACCCCAAGTCCCAGTGGACAACTGTGCTAGGGGCAGTTGTATTTGCAGAGCAAACTCAGAGTTTCAAACATGTCCTGTGTTGAACTTGGGGGACTGATGGAGATATAAAGTATAATTAGAAAAAAAAGTTGGTGGAATTTCTTGACTGATGGGAACACTTTTTGTTAATCATAAAAAGCCCCTTTGAACCTGGGATTGAGGGTCAGAACTTTTCATCCTATTTCCTTCACCTCAGGGATGAGGGAGGACTTGAGTTCAATCACATGGCCAATGATTTTTTCTCTCTTTAAAAAAAAATATTTATGTGTTATGAGTGTATTGCCTGTATGTGCGTAAGTGTAAGTGCACCTGTGTTGTGCAGTGTCCTCAGAGGTCAGAAGAGGGTGTCAGATTCTCCTGGAACTGTAGTTAAGAACAGTTGCTAGCTGCCATGTGGGTGATGAGAATCAAACCTGGGTCCTCTGCAAGAGCAGCCAATGCTCTTAACCACTGAGCCATCTCTCCAGCCACTCCCCCTTTTGTAAAGTCAGTGTCACATACTATAGCCCAGGCTGGCCTCAAACTCATGGCAGTCCTGCCTCTTCCTCCCAAGTGCTGGGGTTACAAGCCTGAGCCATCACTCTTTACTTGATTTTTGTCTTGTTGTCAGTGCTGAGGATTGAACTCAATCTCTCACGTGCATGTCAAGAGCTCTAACTGAGCTACATCCCCAACCAAGGCCAGTGATTTGATCAGTCATTCCTGGATAATAAATCTGTCAAAAGACAAATTTAGTTTAAAGATCTAATTTGGCCAATTGTAGAACGAGGTGACAGACACCTGGTTTTGTAAAACAGAATGGGTAACGGGCTGGGAAGATGGCAAGCTAAGCGTGCTTGCTGCTCTTTGTTTTGTTTTGTTGGGGTTTTTTTGAGACAGAGTCTTACCATGTAGCTCTGGCTGGCCTGCAACTCACTATGTAGACCAGGCTGGCCTTAAACTCAGGGATCTTTCTCTCTAGTGCTGGGATCAAAGGCATGTACCACCACACCTGGCTTGCTGTTCTTGCAAGTTCCCGGGACCCACATCTAGTGGTTCCCAACCACCTGTAACCCCAGTTCTAGAGGCTCCAGGGGCTCCCTCTCTGGTCTTCCAAGACACTGCGTTTATGTGGTACACATACACACAGGCACATACACATAAATAAAAATGAAAAATTACAAGAGGTGCACAGATGAGTTGATCACGGGGAACTGGATGAATGGGCAGCAAAGGGCTGAAGAAAGAAACAGGAGGTATGATCATCTCCAAGTCACTTTCTTTGAAAAGCCAGGTGCAGCCTATGCTATCAGCACTTGGGAGGCTGAGGCACGAAGATCATAAATTTGAGGCCAACCTGAAGTACATAGCAAGACCCTCCCTGTCTCACAAATTGGGGGGGCACATGACCGGGGACTTCCTCATGCTGCTAGTGGTTGAGGACCCCATGTCAAAGTTGAGTTCAATAACAGGCTCTTAGCCTGAGAGACTCTGTGGGGAGCCGCCTGCTGTCCCTGCAGACGCCATTACAAGATGGCGCTCACATCCGGTTCATGCTGAGCAGTAAATAAGTCAGTACGCATGCCCGAAGTAATTTTCCACCTTCTAGTCTCTGCCTACCTCGTGGCGTGATATGGGCTGATGAGTTTGCGACCAATCAAGAGTTGCCACGTCCAAGACGGGCTTACTAACCTATATAAGGGCTGGGTTTCCGACATTCGGGGTCTTCGCCCTGTAAGCTTATGCTCTCCCTCTCAAGATGCATTAAAGCTTTTCTGCAGAAGGATCCTGAGTGTGCCGCGTCGTTCTTGCTGGCGAGACGATAGCGCAGGACAACTGGTGCCGAAACCCGGGAATTCGACCAAACCATCGTCAGCACCATCGGAGACCTCTTGAGTTCAAGGAGGATTCAGAACTGCAGGTAAGGACGTTCAGAGAGGTATGTTTTTTCTGGACTTTGGCTTGAACCTGTTTCCGCTTTGGAAAGGTAGCTTTGAGGCCTTGGTTATCATTCTGGGAGCACTTATAGTTTTGTTGTATAAAACATGCCAGGCCGTTGTGGCGGAAAGTCGAAATGTTCTTGAGGAAGTCCAGGATAGCATGTCAGAAACTGAACGCAGTGAGAGGTTAGGTGCACGAAAAAAGAAACGGGCCCCAAATAAGGAAAATGGCCCTCCCGGAAGGTCTGTTGACAAGGGAGCGTATTTTAAAGAGCCTAGAGATTCTTTGCCTGTCGAGAGGCCGGACAAAGGGACTAGTATATACCCCGTCCGAGAACTAAAGGCTCTGCAATTAAGTAGTTCAGGAAGCCCCGGGAGCTCTGAGGACGAGAGCCTTGACCCGGAGGAGGAGGCGGAGCTAGATGAGGAAGTAGCGAAGTATGAGGAAGAAAGATATCATCCAGATGATCATGTACAAGGCAACAAGAGACACCAAAAACATTCACATTCTGTGATGGCCGCTTCACAAGTGGCCCCCTCAGCGTCCCCTCCGTATGAGGTCCACCGAGGATCTTTTTCCCTCCTATCTGATAAAGTGCAGAGGAAGTTACGTTCGGCCTTCCCTGTCTTTGAAGGCCTAGAGAACGGGCGGGTATACGCACCCGTGGAATATAACCAAATAAAGGAATTAGCAGAGTCAGTCAGAAAGTATGGCGTCACCGCCAATTTCACATTGGCACAATTGGACAGGCTGGCGAGAGACTCCATGACACCTACTGATTGGCAAACAATAGCCAAGGCCACGCTTAACAGCATGGGCCAGTTTATGGAATGGAAGGCCCTTTGGCATGAAGCAGCTCAAGAACAAGCCAGGGCCAATGCTATATCTTTGACACCAGAACAGCAAGAATGGACTTTTGACATGCTGACAGGGCAGGGACACTATGCAACCAATCAAACAAATTTCCCCTGGGGAGCATACCAACAAGTCTCAAGCACTGCCATCAGGGCCTGGAAGGCACTCTCTAGGAAGGGTGAGGGAGGTAACCAATTAACAAAGATTATACAAGGAGCTCAAGAGCCTTTTTCTGACTTTGTGGCTAGGATGACGGAGGCGGCAGGGCGCATTTTTGGAGACTCTGAGACAGCCATGCCTCTTGTCGAACAGCTTGTCTTTGAACAAGCCACTCAGGAATGCTGTGCCGCCATTGCCCCTAGAAAAAACAAAGGGATGCAGGACTGGCTTAGGGTTTGTAGAGAGTTAGGGGGCCCTCTTACCAATGCAGGGCTGGCAGCAGCCATTTTACAGTCCCAGAGACGCCCCCCTAAGGGGCCCGAAAAAAGGGTCTGCTTTAACTGCGGAAAGCCCGGACACATGAAAAGAGACTGTAGAAATCAGAGGGCCCACCCCTGCTCTTTGCACCCGCTGCGGCAAGGGCTATCATAAGGCAGACCTATGTCGCTCGGTTAGGGATTTGAGAGGTAATGTCCTCCCTCCTAAGGCAACCTTTATCAATGAGGATCCAAAAAACGGGGCAGCGGGCCCATGGTCCCAGGGCCCACAAAAATATGGGAACCGGTTCATCAAGGCCCCGGAGAAAGCCCCCTTGGGGATGACACAAGACTGGACTTGCGCGCCTCCTCCGATTTCTTATTGATGCCTCAAATGGCAGTGCAGCCCATACCTGCCTGTTTGCCCATACCATTTCCTCAAGGGACTGTAGGGCTCCTTCTGGGCCGAGGGTCACTCACCCTGCAAGGATTGATTGTTCACCCTGGCATAATTGACAATCAGCGTACCCCTGAGGTTCAGGTTTTGTGCTCTAGCCCTAAAGGCATATTTTCTATCAGTAAAGGGGATAGGATAGCTCAGTTGCTACTCCTTCCAAGTACCCACCAGGAATTTAGAAATAGGCCGATGGGATCCTCGGGTCAGGACTCAGCCTATTTAGTTGTCAGCCTACAAAATAGGCCGAAGCTGCTCCTACAGGTTAATGGTAAGAGTTTTGAAGGCATCCTAGATACTGGGGCAGATAAGAGCATCATCTCTTCCCATTGGTGGCCAAGGTCTTGGCCGATTACCGAGGCTTCCCATTCATTACAGGGTTTGGGTTATAGTGCCCATCCCACAATCAGCTCTTCCGCCCTCACTTGGAAGACGGCGGAAGGGCGGGAGGGAAGATTCACTCCTTATGTCCTCCCTTTACCTGTCAACCTATGGGGACGGGATGTTATGCACGACCTCGGGCTTACTCTGTCCAATGAATATTCACCACAAGCAATCCAAATATGAAGAAAATGGGGTATGAGAGAGGAAAAGGGCTGGGGTGTTGTGAACAGGGGTGTACAGAACCCATAGCACCCA